TTTAAAAACACTTCAGTCTCAATGACATCTTTCCTTAGAGCTTCACTTAAGTAGTACATGGTGTCCTCAATAGCATTCTCCTCAGCAAATAAATTCAATAACCTAAACAAATAAACAAAAAAGAGATGCATATTAAATTATGCCACTGTTATGAAAGTAAATGATGATAGCTCTAGCAAACTCCCAAAGAGGTCCAAACTAACATGCCACTAAGGGCTATGGTAAGGGTCCAGTGGAAAAACCCATGGTGGTATCAAAGGGTATCCTATTGCCATAGTTCAGTATGAAAAGAGGAGAGAATGTTTCACTTAAGTCTCCGCTGGCACCACCCTGTCTATGTACCAGTGTTAGTATTAACCAGTCCATTGCTGGTATTAACTAACTCACATTTTACAAAACACCAGGACTCTGTTACTATACACCAGGCAACTTTTGCTGACAGTAGATCATTGTCGTGTAAACCAGGTGACTATTGAACCTATTACAGTAATAGCTTCTTGTGGCTATAAACACTAGGCTGCTCCTGGGGTTATCAATCAGGCTACTGTTTACTGCAACCAGCCTACTGCTACTATAAACCAGTTGACAGTTTATATGAGCCAAACCACTTCTATAAACCGGTTGTACTGTTAAACAATCACTTGTTACAATAAAAAATATTTATTATGAACTATTATTATGAACCATGCCACTGATATACTAACCAGGCTACTTGCTACTATAAACCACTTGACAGTAGATATAAACTTAGTCACAGTTTCTATAAACCAAGGCACAATAATTATGAACATCTATCACTATAGTGTTTGTTTTTACAGGCATTTAACCAAACTTACTGTTTGTATAGTGGTGCTGTAGCTACCACTGCTTCATCAATATCAATTTCCTCTTGTCCTTCCATCTTATTTAAGATAATCTGTACTTCTTCATCTTTACGCTCGAGTAATTTTATGTTTTCTTCAACCTCGAGCTGTTTGACACAAAAAAAAAAGATCATAGGTTAGTTATAATGGAAGTCCAACAAAGTCACATGATGCAGGTCAATAGAGTGGTAATTTCTCAAGAAGTGGAAGTAATAATAAAAAGCAGGCCAGGAAAAAAATTGGTTGTGCTTCTGACCATGAAAATTACCTTGATCAAATGCCTCCAGCACAAAATAATGATAACTATTAAAAACGTTATCTGTACAATTCAATGTTTTAATTTTTTGAGATTTTTCAATATCTTACTACAATTAAGGTGTACTGTAGATTGAACAATAGAATACTTACTTGCTCCTTTTCAAGATCATTTGTCATTCTCTCTAAAGTTTGTTGACCTTCTTTTAACTTCATTTGAGTTGCTGTCAGAACATGTAGCTCATTCTGTACAAGATAAAAATGTAATTTTATAGAAAAGTATAACTAAAAATCGCTAATCCTTCAGTTTATGCCATGATATTGGGTGCTCTAATTGAAAAGCGGCTTAGTGATACATATCTAAATGTTACTAAGGTCTAAAGGAAACACTTGGTTGGCTTTAACACAGATTTCTGGTTCCTCATAGAAAACTACAGTAGCTCTATATTTATTTTCCTGGCATGTCAATGTTAAAGACTACAATAACAATAATTTCATGGTTTAAACAAGGACATTTATATTCATCACACTATTCTGTATTGAAAACATTCATATGATAAAATCTGGTATACACAATCAGGTTCATATCTGATGGAGTAGGCCATTCTCAAAGGTTTAACAGAATAGAAAAAACATGACTTGTTTGATCAGATCTGACCCAAGCATACACTTTCAGAATTTGGTCTTAAAACCAAAACCAAAAGATTCAATAAATAAATTCTTGCTTTAAACCCAATTTTACTCCATCTCGTCCTCTCCAATCATCCTCTCATAACCCTCTTTCTGTCACCAAATACCATACCAAAACCTACGGTCAATGTTCTTTTACTTAAATGCTTCTGCCCTTTTTTCAACCAGCTTCCAAATTACATAACTTCTTCCAACTCTATTTGCAACTTTAATTCACAGCTTAAGACCTCTTTGTTTTCCGGTGGCTTTTCACATGCGTTGCGCCTTTGATCTTGTTTGGAATTGGCACCATATAAATTCGAGATATTATTATTTACTTAATTTTTTCGCTTTGTTGACAGATTTGTGCTATCAGAAACCTCATGAAACTATTTACCCAAAACCAAAAGATTTTCAAATAG